GAAAGAGCACTCAGGTATTTCCTGTCTGCACTGCTCCAAATCTCAGTTCCTGTTTGTTTCAAGCCTTGAAACCAAAGGCTACAGATTTTTGCTATGCGTGCCAATAAGGCTGTTTAAATAGCAACACATGGTGGTGACGCCAAGTTCAATACAAGGCTACTGTAGTGCATGCTGCCTGTCCTGACATCAAGGCGTTTTGCTGCTACTCCAGTCAATGCTCCTCGCAGGCTGTGAGCTGAAGCTCCGCTGGCACCGCAGAGCACATCTCCAAGCGCTCACACTTCCATCCAGGCACTCACTCCAGCCCCGAGGACAGAAGCACACCATGCATTATAGCATCACAGCCTGCTAATCGAACCAAATGCATTCCAGACTTTAGCAAATCAGCTCCATCTGTCTGGTGGGTTTGAAGTTTGAAGTCACACTCATCCAAGTCCTACCCAATACATCTTGCATCCCTCATTGCTCCGATGTGTGCCTGGGCTGTCCAGGACTGGTACCCTTTCCCCGTCTCCTTCCTCTAAAACCGACTTGGAACTGCTTTCTCCTGGAGCAGCTCATTTGAAATGAGGAGTTTATGACAACTACCGCAGGGCACCTCATTCATTTCCATCCAAGATATGGTAAAAGAGGCAGAACATGCCATTTAAAGAGGGGTATGTAATCTGTGCGCAGATATGCCTATGCATAAAGGTCATTTTGAGAGTCACAAGGGAAACGGGACCCATGCAGCTATGTGCTTTATTTGCACAAGCGTGCCGTTAGTGATTCTCCAGGTTCATATATACAGTTTAACCACAAGCGCTGTGGATTTCTACAAGGGTCTGAGCTGGGTGAAACCACTGCCATCCCCTCTGATAACAGGGGGCCTGGCTGCCTGTATGCCTGGAGTCTCTTTACCTTGTCAAGGAGAGCGTTCTGCCAGAGTCTGAACATCATCATGTACGTCCTGTCTCGGGCACCAAAGGAAGTGAAAAAGTGCTGGACAGAAAGAGAAAGAGAGAGATCACTTCAGAAGATTTGAGCCAAAAGGGAGAGGAGCCTGGTCAGAGCATTTCACAGGCTGAGCGTGTGGAGAATTATAAGCCCATTATAAGCAAAGGAGGTGAGCTTCTGAGCGGGAATGGAGGAACATCATAGTGCCTTTAAACCCCAGAAAGCATGTGAGAGGAAGTGATGCTAACCAGCAACTCAGCAGTCTCTGGATGTGATATTGCAATCTAAGGGTTCACAGGCCTTTCATCAACCCCTTGGGTCAGGACCATCTCCTGTCCCACTGGCCACGTGTGCTAACCCTGCTCCAGACTCAACCCTACTCATTACATATCATCGCCCCCCACTTCCCTTAAGCACTTCCCACCAGGCCACGGGTGCCATAAGCCAGGAGCGCAGGGGTCTGGGACGTACCTTTTCAGTGTCAGTGCAAACTTGGATAGCATTAGGAATAAGCCGTGCTGTTTTTTCCTTGGTCATCGAACAGATATCCTTCAAACGGACAGTCAGCTAGAACGAGAGGTGTGAAGAAAGGGAAAGGGGGCGAAAGGAAGGAGAGAGCAGAGAAAGGAACAAGCTTATGAGTAAATCAAGGCATGCTCAAAATGCTTCTAAGACAGCCCCAAAAAGCACTTGACTGACAAAACAGTGAGAGGGTCTTTACCAGTGTTTCCCAGCGGAAGATGTTGCTGTAGAAGCAGATCCAGTTTTCGGAGAGGTAGAGTCGGCCCTGCAGGAGAATGTCTCTTTGAAGCGCGCACGAGTAATCTGTAGACAGAGAGCAGAAGATTAGCAAAGGGTAGGCCAACAGGTATCTTGCTGGGACAGGCGGGCACATTAGAGCCGGGCACAAAGCGGAGCCAGAAAGTACACTTAAACCAGGCACCTGCCAGAATCAGTAATCCCAGCAACACCAAGCTGCAGCTTGAAGTGGCAATCAAGGTGAGCCTCACAACTCACAACCAAGGTAATACTGGGCAAAGGAGAGCATCAGCAATAGAGCTAGAATCACAAGAAACCACCACCAGCCAGAACTAACCATCAAGAACCAGACCCCTGCCATGTACCGGCTCGAGCTAGGACTGGCAATGCACCAGTAGAAGAGCAAGGACCTGAAAAATCCCAGAGCCAGTACCCAAGCCAGAGAAGACTGACCAACTCAGGGCTACAAACATGCCAGAGCTGATCATACGCCTGAACCTGCTGGTATTCGTATTATGGTATCCCTACGAGCCCAAATTGAGATTGTACAGTGCACAGCACAATGGACATGCTAGAATTAGCCCTCAGCTCCAGCGTTTTTAATTTAAATAGACCAGCGAATCTATGTATAAGGGGAGATGCTCCGAGAGGAGAAGTGCCTTGGCTGCACTGCAGAGCCAGGAACATAACCTAAGTCTCCCAAGTTGAATATAAGACCACGCGTCCTTCCCCACCTTGCACGGGGGGTTTCCTGGCAGCCTGCTGACTGGTCATTTGGTAGTGCCTCAGGAAATACTTCCATAATCTTAGCCTCTATCTTCCTTTCCATACTCACTGCTGTCATCTGTGTACCTCCCGCAGCCCCAACCATCCCAAACAGCTCTTCTCCCTGCTTCCAAAGAATTATCAGCAGCTATCAGATAGTCACTCCTGAGAGGTACGAGGTGGATGGCTAGTCTGCAGAAGGCAGCAGTTAAATCACTGCAAGGCTGTAGTTTTGTTTGGCAGGGGACTGGGAAGCTGCACAAGGTACGTGCAGAGCGGCTGGAGTGGGGGTGATGCTGCAGCATGAGGCAGAGGTGTGGGACCCAAAGCAAACAGGGAAAAGACCTGAGCAGCCTGCTCAGACCCCAATCCTGCCAGGTCTGGGGAAGCACAAAGGTGGACAGGAACTCTGCAGTTTGGAGCCATCTGCACCCGAAACTTCCCCGCATGCCTACTGTAGACTCGGCTCGGTTCCTCTCATCTCCCTCCTTCCCACACACCAGTCTGCTAATTTATACTTCATCTGTCTCTCATTAAATACCTTCACCAGATAAAGACTGTGACGTGGAACGGAAGAGTTAGCAGCCACAAGCTCAGCTGCCGTGCTCCCCATCTCACCTGACAAACCCAGGGGGAAGAGCAGAGCTTTCTCCATGTTCCCAACGGCATCAGAAGCCAGATTCCCAGTTAGCGTGAATTGGCACCGCTCTACTGAAGAGTGCAAAATTAAGCCGGCTTGCCCCAGCTGAGGATCTGGCTGTGAGTGCACAGGAGGCAATTCAAGGGCTTGCTCTTTGGGGGTGATCTCTGCCCAGAGATCCATCTGCTCTTGGACTTCCTCCTGGAGCATCTTCCTACAGCTCAGCAGGGCGCAGTGCAACAGAAAGCAAAGGGGCTGACAGAAGTCCCACTGGCCTTACCGACTATGAGGCGCTCAGTGTCGGGAAGCTGTTTGAAGAGTTTCCTGAAGTCTTCGTTCCGCTGTTTATACGTTGGACTCAACACCTGCAAATAAGAGAGCGCCTGTTAATGAGAGCGGCAGGGACTGGGGCAGGAGGAGAAAGACATGGGCATTGTGGCAGAGGGAGGGCAGGGACTGCATATGCTTACCACATGTGAGACCAGGACTTGCTTTCCCACCTGATGCACCAGGGGTAAAACTCAGGGTGACCTTTACTAATTGCATAGGAAGTGGGAACAGAGGAGGAAGAGAACCTGGCTTGTCAGAGAAGTGGAAATTACTGTGTCGAATCCTAGACCCAGCAAGGATGATCCCTGGGAGTTTTCCCACTGACAGCAGGAGCTGGCTTGTCTCTGCTATTTACTAAGCATTAACACAACCTTCCTCAGCTTTGTAATCCTAGCCACACAAAGTCTCCCACATGCTCCACAAGGCTGGCCCCCTGGAAGAGCCGAACCCTCCCTGCATGCAGGACTGGCTTGGAGCTTCGTATGGAGACAGGTGCAAATGCCGACAAGCTGCATCTCTGCTCTGTCTCCTGTAAGTACAGGGAGGATGACCTGGAGTACACGCTGATTCCCTCCTCTCCCTTTCCTAGCAGGGCAATCAATATACGTCCCCAGAATCAGAGACACAAAGACCTTCCAGTCAGTCCAACAGACCTGCAGGACCCGATGATCTTCTGAGGTCCCTTCCAGCCTTGCAATCTATGAAACCCCTGAAGACATCTCTTTCTAGAGGAAGCATGGGTGGGCAAGGAGAGAGAGAGGGAGGCAGGGACATTACTGGCCACAAAGTTTAGGACAGGAAGGAGACATGGAAAAATCACAGAAAAGCATCCCCGCTTTCTTCCCCTGGGAGCTACCTCCCTGCGGTTAGCTGCGCCCTACTTAGCCCCCACAGTTTAACGACTGATTTCTTAATACTGGTGCAAAGACCATTAGAGACGTGCTCTCTAATCATTGTAGGCTCAAAGGCAGAGCATTTTGCGAGTGTCCCAGACTCGTAACCGGCATTCAGAATAGCAGGCGTGCGCTCCGGGAATTCACTCACCAAAGTGTCGGTCTCAGCCCCTGCGCCTGGGTCCTATTTAGAGGTGCGCCCAGCTGAGTTCAGGCCCTGAATTTCATAATGGGAGTACAGTCAGGTCTGACATCTGGGTTCAGCCCATTGTAGAGACTGAACTGACTTTGGATTTGGATTGGGATGTCCCTCCCCTGCAGGCAGCGAGGCTCTGAGCTAGGGTCTGGCTTTGGGAAGCCCCGTACTAGACAACTGGACTCTCTCAAGTCTTCTCTGCAGCCATGGGATCTAAGTGACAGGAAGAGGTAGCACAAAAACTTCTGCTACCCTGATAAATTGCTCAGTTGAGACACTCACAGCTGGAATTTCTTCTGACCGTGGGCTGACGTGTTCCTGAGCCAGGTCCTGCAGCCTCTCCAAGTACCGCAGCAGCCTCTGGTCGTCTTGCTCCAGAGTAAGAATCCAGAGAACCCCACATTGCAGCAAGGAATCCATTGCACCTCCTTCGCACTCGCTTGCTCCCTTCACGCTCTCCAACCCTTCCCGTCTCCTGTTCACACTGTCGCTTGCGCTTGCTCAGCTTCAAAGCAGAAAGACACAAGAACAGCAGCCTGGTAGAGAGATGCGTGGCTTCCCCTTCTCTTCTGACATCCAGCTGTTCTGCCCCAGCAGCCTCTGCAGCTCCAGAGAAGAACAGCTCTCCAAGAGACTTGGAAGAAGGGGCTCATGAGGGGAAGCTTATCGGCCAGTGCTCCCTGGGCGCCTGTGGTTTCTCGCTGCTTCGCTCTTGCTGCCCTGTCACTGCGGGTATCCTGAAAGTGCCAGAGCAGTCCAGAGCAGGAGGTTGTTGGGCAGCAGGAGCTCACAAATCCAAGCCCAAATGCCAGGGCTGCCCAGGACGATGGATGATTTGCCCCGTCCCAATCTGTAGGACCACAGGATTTGCAGGACCACACCGGGCTAGTTTTGGCTCCAGTGCTGCATTGCACAGCAAGCGGCGTGCAGACCTAGCCTGCTTATCAGAGAAGCGGGAACTCTTGTTTCGCCAGCGCCTGCCTCAGGCACTCTGCTCCCATCCCCTTTCTGCTCTGAAAGGCAGCTTTGGTCTCTGTTAATTTTTCTCATGGAAGGAGCGGGTGGGGAGATACCAAAATGACTCGCACATGCTTTAAGTTACTGTATCTGGGTAATTCTGTCGGTCAATGCCCGACAGTAACCCGGGCTCAGCCCTGCCTCCTAACAGATGTTTCCTGTAATGGAAAACTGTTGGACGGTGCGTGTTTGGGGGAGGGGAAAGGAGAAGGAGAGACCGGCCTGTTGAGCCCAGCGATGATGAAATCGGCAACGTGAGACCCAAACAGCTGGACTGGTCTGGGGCTCTCTTACCCAAAATGCCTCCGATCCCAGAAAAACTAGGGTGCCTTGCGGGCTTCATTCACTCCCCAAAGCAGTAGGACAAAGATCTCCTTCGGACACTGCCCCAGGAGCGCTCTGAGAGCCTCAGGGATTGGATGGACCTTTCTCTGAAATCCACCCTCGCCCCTTCATCTTCTTTACCTGTCCCCACTCCAGCACAGGCAAAAAGAGGCAGCGCATAGCAAGGAACCCATAAAACACAGCTCCTGTTCAGCTCCGATGCTGGTCCTGTGGAGCTGGATGTAGGTATGGTAGGAAAAGAGAAAAGATGCAAGTCCCTACAGGCCTGAGCACAGGTACACCTCAAAAGCCTCAACTCTGCAAGGCCAGAGGAACCAGGCTTGCGCGCAGACTTAATTTCATGGCCAGAGGCTGCGACTGTCTGATAGAAAAGACAAGCAAGCAACTTTCATTTAAGTCAGTAATCTCTCGCACCACAGACGCTCTGAAGCAGAAGTTAGCACGCATGCAGCTGTATCTCTGCGCTGACAAGAGAGAAGCAAGATGCCTCATCTGCCATCACAAACCGGGGAGGCTTCCTTTATGGAAACCCCTGCTCCTACGTGCTCTAGAGCGGACTGCAAACCAGGCTCTACAATGGTGCAAGCAACTGCAGTGCGAGGCCCTGGTCGCTTTAATGAATGGCACATTTTGCTGGAGCTGGATGAGAAATGACTTCCTAAACCCGCACGCATGGCTGATGGGTTTGTTTCTGCAGAGCAGGAGCAGCCGGGAGCGATAGCAGGAGCCACGTAGGGGTGGTGATGGTAAACATTAACTCTAGCACAAACACAGGGAGCTGGGACAGGATGGCACTGGAGACGTGGGGAGGAGGGAGGGGTGGATGTGACGGTGGAGATCGGGGGGGAGGGTGGATTCCTCGGAGAGAAACCTCACGGGCTTGGGCTCCCCCAGGATGGCTTCACGCCTAAGTCTGCAGGGAGGGTTCACCTGACTTTTGGACAGAAACGGACAACTCCTACAGACAAGGTCTGCCCTATTCCCCTGAGTACCCGAGGAAATTATGGTTGCTACTCCCTTGAACAACAAGGGACCTGGCTGCCATCCTTAAATCCACACAAGTTTCCAGCATGAGCTCTGCAATGCTCAGTTGGGGTCTGCAACCCCTTGGGGCTTTCCTCAAACATGTCAATGGAGGAATCTCCTGGCAGAAATGTTGAACGCTTTTCAAGTGAACGCTTTACCTTGGGTAAATTCAAAAAGAGGTTGGATGAACACCTGTCTGGGGTCGTGTGATCCCAGCATGTGCTCCAACCAGTGGCAGGGGGTTAGACTAGATGATCTATTCAGGTCCCTTCTGACCCCTAACTACTATGAAACAATGAAGTGTGCAGACAGCAAAAAAGCCAGGTGGTTTCTAAGTAAGTATTCATGCCTTTGGGTAGCAAGAAAACGCTGAATACAGGATTGCAAGTGTTTGTGCCCACAGCCTGGGTGTTAGCAGTATGTGAGTGCACCTACATGTTCATTAACGTGCTTTAGGTAATGCTGATTACATTTAGTACCTCCACTGTGAGGTACCAGAAAAAGGCGCATTAGCCTATTTTATTGCACTTAGCAAAAATTAACTTTTTCTGTGATGCTTTAATGTTCACTAAAATGTGCTAATGCTTATTGAATTGCAAGTGCAGATGCACACTACTTCTTCCAGGAAGGGAACAGACTATGCCCATAGCCCGCAGGGTATGTCAAAAGTACCCGATGCAACCCAAATTCTGGACACCGCCAACAGGTGATGATTGGCTGGTGAACGAGGCGCGCACCCATAATTCCTTGCAGGAATGACTGCATGAATCATTTCAAACAACAGCAATATATCTCAGAAAAAAATCTCAGGTTGGCAACAGCCAATTCACACCCAAAAAGAGACCAGGTCTTCATTAAGTGAACTGCTGCCTCATCTTGAGCGCAGGGGCTTCGTGCACCATGTCTGCCTGCTGCCGAGGCAGTAGCTCAAGCTGTCATGCTAGGAAGCTGCCTGTGCCAGCACTTTCCTGCCTCTCAAAATTGTTCCCCTCTCTTTCGAAAGGGGAAGGCCTTTGGTCTTTTCGAGAGCTGGAGTCTCTGTCCCCCTCTCTCTTTTATGCTACCTTTTGGCATGCTGGGAAGCACAGTATGGGTTAATAAAAAGTCTCTATTCCTCTAGTGAGAGGTTTCCACTCTCATCCCTGCTTAGCTTTTCAGAAGCCCTTCTACCTCTCAGTTTGTACTTTTGGTTTGGGTATCCAAGCCCCGAAATCCTGAATGCTGCACCATCACTTCCTGTGGCATGCTGCTCTAAGGTGAGGCATATACCACCAAACCTGTGCCTGCACGCCAAGATTTCCTTTCCCCCCAAACAGTCCTTCCCTGGGACCAGAGCACTGATTTTGCTAGGGTCTGGCCTATCCTGAACACCGCTCTGCACAGAACAGGGCACGGACGGAGGAGTTGTCCAGACCCGAGAGAGAGCTGTGCTCAGCACGTTCCCGTCTCTAGTCTCCTAGTGCGCGGTGTTGAGGGGAGGCACACGTGGCTGTGCGTGAGACAGTACTAGAAGCTGCATGTTCAGTTGTCAGCAGAGGTCTACTCTGGAGCCATTGTTGGGAATATCCCTCTGTGTGTGGGTGCAGCATTTGTTTGGAGAACTGCAAATGCAGGGCTTCTGTCAGGGTTTTGTCCCCTACCGCCGTCTGTGGCACAGACTTTACCTTCATAAAGACAAATGGGCAGAGTTGTGCTGCCACCAAGTCTCTTCAGCAAGTCTCGCAGGGAAGTGAAATGTGTCTCTGGCTATTTGAGTGATGTAGTGGGTGATTTTTCATTGTAAACTGGTTTTATAGCTTGCCTGCATTTCTCTGCTGCCCATATGTACGGTTAAGGGTGAGCGATAGGGGAAAGCAGATTGGAGAAATAAGGAAGAGCGAAGCCAAACACAGACAGAGGTGGGGGGAGACAGAAGGAAAGGAAAGCAGGTATGCACAGAACAAACTCTGAGGGCACGCAGACATGTGGGGTAGCTATCCCTGGGATCCAAGTAGCCCTGCAGATCCCACGGGTCTCGCACGTCCCTCCAGTCAGTGCTGTTTGCTCTCTTTCTTGCAGAACATCACCTTCCTCTCTAAGTCTTTTTCCCCACCCGTTTCCAGAGAGGACTATTCAGCTCTGCTGCATCCCCTTCACTCTCTCTTCTCTGCACATTGGAGGCCATTTACAGAAGTCGCACTTGCTACATGCAGCAGCTGGAAATGCTGGAGAAGGCCCGACTCTCTGGCACCAGGCAGCGAATAGCCCTGAGGGCATGCACCCTATTTAGGGAGAGGCGGGTCACCAGTGATTTATGGTCAAGCAGAGACAAAAAGCAGAAGCCTGGCGCCGCTCAACATCCCCGCTCTGACCATGAGGTCTGGGGGATACAAACGGGATGCTCCAAGCCCCGCTAGGGAATAGGGCCCCATGCATGGGGTGCAAGAAGGGCAGGAGATGACCTCTGGGATGCTTCCCAAGTGGGGGATTCCCATGCCCACCTCCCTCCCATGTGGTAAGCTCTGTGCCAGGTGTGGCTCAAAACAAAACTAAGACCCTGTCCCCCTAAACTGCCAATCTTGGACTAGAAGTGCATCCTGATTCCACGGCTGGGGTCAGCCTGTGGCAGGCCGCACCACAAATCCAGATGCAAAGAGGAGGAATGCTGGACAAGTCTGACTCTGGGTCTGCAAGCTCCGGTTGATGCCCATCGTCGTTCTGTAGGGATTAGCACCCCGACTTTCCAAGTTCTGCCTTGCACGTGGCTTCGCACCTGTCCCTGCTTCCTGACCTCTCCCCCTTCACTCTCTGCTCTCCCACTGCTGCCAGCACTTGCCATTTTATTGATATTAGCTGCTTATTTTTCCTTAAAGACTCTGCTCCAGGAGTCAGGTTATTACCGGAGAATGACACCTCTCACGTAAAGAAAATCATTTTCAGCCCTGGTGTTTGCAAAGAGAAGCTTGAAAACATGCAACCTGAAGCCTTAAAAACCATACAAGGAAGAAAATGAATCCACCGTTTCCTATTGCTGCCCTATTCCCTATGATTAAAAAGATCGCTCATGATTTTCAGAGCCCTGTTCATGATTTTTGACCATGTGGAACTGGCCATCCCTGTTGTTCCTCCCTCCTCCCCCACCTTCTTGCTTCCTTTCCAATGCCGTTTTCACAAGACAGTGTTGCTAAACAGCATTCTTCAAGGCAAGAGGTGGGGGCAAGTCAACCCGCATTGCACAACGGGGCAAAGGCTCCAACCAAGCATACTGGAGCACAGAAAAAGCCGCAAGGTGACTCCTCATGCCCACCGCAGCACTCGCACATGGGATAGCCCAAAACAGGGACCCCTCTCCCACCCTCTTTATTTAACTGCAGCCCAAGCTGATGAGCTGCCAGGTGCACTGCCCGTGAACTCATGCAAGTGATTACTACTCATAACTCTTATGAGGGATGTATGGGCTTGGGAGGAGGAAAAGCACATCAATATATCTAGATATGGGAACCCTCCCACAGTGCCAGCACGTTCCTCTGCATATAGGAAAGTCTGAGCGCTCTTTTTTCTATACTGGGGCAACAACAGTCCATTATTGCTCTCTGCTTTCTCCAAAACTGGGTGCTAGAAGCTCCTTTTCCTCCGTGCCTCAGGGAGGATCTGTGTGCTCAAAGCTGTTGCCATTGTAGCCATGCCAATTAGGTGACATAATTTTCATAGCATTTGTATTCTGATAAAGCCCCGGTGTAGGCACAGTTGCACTAACAAATACCTAGTTCTTTCTGCTTTTATAGCTTACTTAGCCCAGGGACCCTAACTAAGCCATGCCAGCAAAACCACTCTCACTTGACAGTGCAGGCTACATCTTCATTAGGAGAATCAGCTGGGATGGCTGTAACAGTACAGCTCCACCAGCCAACTTTCCCGGTGCCTGGATCCGAGTCATCCTTCACTTCTCCCTGGCCTTGGTGGGTATAGGATACGCACACAGACTGACAAGCTCCCGTACCTCAGGAGCCCAGTGCTGAGGCAGGCTGCACAGGCAACTCCTCAACTCAGTCATCCTTACTCCTAACCTCCCCTTTTTATCAAGGAGACATGCAAGCCCAGAGCAGGGGCGCTGAGCACCACCCAAGGGCTAACATGGACTTGCAAGAGCCTAAAGCCTGGCTGACTGGCACTTAGGGATAGAATTGTAATTCATTAAGTCTACAAATTTAACAAGCCAGAGGCTTGGGTCTGGTGTTCCTCACTAACAGCACAGTGAATGCCTCAGGGGACTCTTCCTCTCCACTGCCAGTGAACCTAGCCCGGCAGCCAATCCTCGTTCCTCCAGCCAGAAGATGTGAGCAAAGCACGGGCATTTATTCCTAATCCACATCAAACGCAGGAGAGGTTGTTCAGCCACCGTGCCAGTCTCCTGGCTATGAGCAACGTGACCTCCTAAAGCTGCTGGTTACAGAGGGATGGTCCCACGAGGCCAGGGTCAGGCAGGGGGGCTTTTTAGACAGCCACAGAGTACAGGTTGCTGGGAGCTGGAGATGCCAGGCTACTTAAACTGCTAAATCCAGCCCACGAGGAGGAGACTTGAACTGAACCTGAACTGGCACCGTTATCTTAATTCACTGACTGGGCACCTGCCTGTTTTGGGGGGCAGAGAAGAAGGGAGGGTCTCTTAGGATGGAGGAAAAAGACATGTCTATTATTTGAGTTTGGTGCCTACAACTTCACAAACTCTGAACACCCGCCCACCCCATCAAGCTGTTTGGGAAAGCATGGGTGGATCCAACCAGAGCACGTGCTTGGAGGCAAAGGAACAGCGATCAAAGCAAATATTCACAGCTGGAGGTTGCTAATGTCTTAGAAAAGAGAAAATGGGATATAGGAGGAAGCCACCTCTACTGTAAAGGAGACAAAGGGTCAAGTGGGGTAAACGTAAGAAAACCAGTTAAAAGCAGCAGAAATAGGGCTGTTCCCTTCACAGCTGAGGCTAATAGTTCAACAGGTAGATGGAGTATAGGACTAAGGCTGGGACTCTGTCTCATGTTTGTGCAGCACCTGGCTGTGACTGTGCCTCCTAGGTGTAATGATAATCCTGATCCACAAGTGAATGTGCACGTGGTAGGAACAGGTGCGCTGCACGTGCATATGTGCTTGCGCGCATGTGAGTGGATTTAAAGAAACTATCCTGTGGTAGCTAAATTGCAAGCCAACTCAAAGGTGGGCTGTCTACACCATCTCCGGAGAGGGACCCTCCTTTATGAGGCTCTTCCAGTAGGGATGGGAAGGGGAAGTGTCTGGCTGTCGTCAGCACTGGAGAATCCTGGCAGGAAGCGTGGCTCTACAGGGAGGGAAAATCCAATGCAGAAGGACATTTCTGACAATGACAACACTATTGACTCCCTGCCTGGGGCTTGGGTAGCCCAACCCTATTTCCAAATGGCTACTTTTATCTGGCCAGAATGGGTCTATGGACTAGAACAAAGCAGAGAAAGGAAAACGAGGGAAAGAAATAAAACCACAAAGAATACAGCCAGTGCTTACTCTCCGGATGTGCTGTCTCTCATGCTGAAAACATATGGAGGAAAAACAAGAACAGAAAGATAAGATAGAGAGGGCACCAAAACACAAGAGAACCATAGAAGCAGATCACGCCAAAGCACCATGAAGCAGGGACGGCTCCCAGCAGCCACATAGATAAGCAGCTCTCGACTAAAACACAACTACAGTCAATGGTTTCTTCATATTTGGAGTTAGGACTCTTCCTGGCTGCCTTCTCTGTGTGCATCTCTAGGTAACTCAACTTCTCTGTGCATGTCTGTCTGCTCTGAATACTTCACACAACCCCCTGCCCTCCTTACTGACTCCCGTCTATGCTTGCTCCCACCCTGCTTGTCCATCCTGCCTCTCCCCATGCTCTCACCACTTCCCAGAGGGACTTATCTAGATTGCTCCTGGCTTTGCTTCTGCCCAGCTCCTATTATAGTGGTCCCATACCTATGGCCAACAGAGTCAAAGGGAGTTTAGTCACTGCCTCTGCTACTTCCTCTGCCTGTCTACACTCATTACACCATGTTCTCTTCCACATTGAAGTTGTCGTGGTCTATGTTCCACCCCTGGCACAAAGAGTTGCCGTTTTGAAACAAAACTCATTTAAGACCTAAAATCATCAGCAAAAGAATTTGGTTTTAGAGAGACAACAGGCTTAGCAGGTATAGAATTGCAAAGCCAGACACGTGTGCTGAGTTAGTGGAGGAGGGTAGAAAAAACCTGCTTGTTTCTCCAGACATGAGCAAAAAGCAATTTGCAGCCTCTTCAGGTTTGTCCACACTGCAATCCAGACTGCATTTTTGGCATACCCAGGCAGCCTAGACTAACCAGCTTGCATCATGACAGCAGGGCACGTGTGGCAACATGGATTTCGGGTACCCAGTACTGACCTAAGTTCAGGCTCAGTGTGGCCATCACTGAAGTCTGTGCTGTCATGGCTGTCAGCACTTGTGAACTAGATACATGAAAGCTAGCAAGGGGCAAGTCTAAGATGAGCTGCAACCACACATCGGGATTGCCATATAAATACACCCTGAGATACTAAGAGGAGAGGTGCAGCAGAAAGAGTAGAAGACCTGCATGTCGGTACCTGTTGAATGTAACACAATCTCTTCTCTGTGACTGCCGACTCACTTCACATGGATCATGCTAGAGCTGTAGGACAGGGTGTACAGAACTCAACACACGGGAGCTGTCGGACATGGGCACTCAGCTACCACCAGGGTTGTCCTTGTTATGACCGTCTCAGAGTCTAGGCTCTGGTTTCTCCAGTAGCGGGGTCCTAAGCCACCTCACTCTGGGTCCATCAGGGTTACCCATCGTGGATACCAGAGCTCCGTCTCGCAGGTTCAAAGCCTGCCTGAATGAATGCCAACGTTCAACCAGCACCCTGCAGCGAGGGGTACCCAAATGCAGGTAGAGGATAACGTGACCCTAGAGATACCCGAGGATAACATGACCCTAAAGATACCCAAGGGAAAAAGCAGGAGGAGGTGGTGGCAGAGGAAGTCCTAGCAGGATCACTTCGAGTCACTTACTGGTATCACCCTATGTTTTGGGGTTTGGGGGGGGACGGGATGGGATGGTATTTGTTTTTCATCTTAATTCTGGATGGCCAACACGTTAATGGGAAGGTAGGAAAAGACCCTCTTCACCTTTTGTGGGGGCTGGTAGCTCGGAGAACCTAATTATGAGGAACTGCAAAAGCGAATCAACATGAATTTGTCAAAGCTGACTTAGCATCTAGTCTAGACCAGAGGACTGGGGAACTAAGGAGCTTATGATGTCCCCATTCAGCACAGCATTCATATCTAGTCTCTATCAGTTGTCAAAAAACCATTTATGTGTGTATTTAAGTGCTTTACTAAATAGGGACGGGCTACTAAATGGAGGAAAACTCCTAGGCCAATATCAACTTTGAGTCAGAGCATGGGAGTTTAGACCATGGGGAACCAGAAGAAACTTTCCTTCCCTAGAAAAAAATCTCATAGTTTGAAAATTCTTCAGCCCTGCACTTCCCTGCCAGGTGCTTTCATGTCGGGTCAGATCACACAGAAAGGAAGAAAAGGACAGGGCCAAACCCTTCGCAGAAAGAAGTGGGTACTTTAACGTCAGGGATTTCAACTACCCTTCTCTATTAATCTATCCTTAGATGCAGAGAACTCTACATTGACGGATCAATATATAAGATAAGGAATGTGACTTTAATCCTTGTTAGGCAACAATATTCGATGCACCTACAAGGACAACTGTCCAGTGACTCATTTGCATCATGACCATTTCCTGGGCTTGTGAAAGGCACCATTATCCACGGTGCTGGAGTTCAAGGGCAAGATTTTCAAAAGTGCTCAGCTCCCAGTACCTGCTGCTGTTTGATATGGGAGCAGGTCGGCACTGCGCACTTCATCTGCGTGTTGAAAGGTGAGCTGAATTCTCTGGAAAATCTGGCTTTGAAGTCCACTGTTTATACAAAGAAAGGTAACAGTAAATCCAGCGGCCCACAAAGTGAAACACTTGTGCAAGAGCCCAATCTAAGGAGACTGCCTTGGCATGAAATTCTTGACCTCTCTGCTGAGACTGCGCTTTCACCCAGCTACCCTGGGCACCAACAGCAGTGATGACACAACAGCAGAGTCTTCCTCGCCAGCTGGCCACCCAACTACTTACAGTCCCTGCCCAGCTTGCACACCCTGTGCCAGCTTTTAGTCCCCAAGGTAGCTATGGCATGGGTGTGCTCCTCCATAATACAACCATCCCTCCTGATTGCACCACAGATGCCTGAGAGACTTCCCAAACTAGGAAGAGCTGTCACAGGATAGCAAAGGCCTCATCCCTAAAACCTGCCAGTCCCCAACAAAAATGTGCAAGTCTTCCACCCCCAACCACAAAAGAAACTCTATGTCCATACAGATCCACCTTGAGGAAAGACAGTGAATACAGTGCAAGCTGGCATGGCACCGCCCTTCGAATGAAGTGTTACGTGTAAGAAGCTAATGTCCGGCAAGGTAAAAGATACAGAACAAAATATCCTTGGCATCATTCTGCCACTTTTGATCAACAGAGTTCAGTGCAATTACCCCATACAAATGACTGGCTCAACAAGCCTGTGGCACTGGCACATTACCCCTTGGCATCCTGGCTAAAATCACCCCCCTTCAGCATCACTGCTGCTAATGTCTGAGGCTGCGAGTAAGTGGGAGTGACTGCTGGGGGCTGGCTCCCCGCTGCTGCATTTGCCTGCATAGCCACTGCACTGCTGGTCCCTACTGCCAAGCACTGGAGGAGGCGGGGAGCGGTTCTGCTGTGCAAAGCTGCCGCTTTGTTGCTCGTGGAAAATTTGCAGACTAAGCTTTATGCCTGCGGACGCGGCCACTCAAGCTTGCAAAGGGAAAACCAGCAGCAAGACTGACGAATGGTGGCCTGCCTTTCTGTGAGCTCTGTGGGAAAGAGACTGCCCCGCACGCCACAAAGGACACGGACGTTTTTGCGCCCTGGAAGCTCCAAGCTCAGCTTTGTTGCACCGGGATCCGATGGGAAGCAGGGTTTGAAGAATGCAGCAGGCGTGATTGAGAGGACGCAGCATTCTTGGGCCCTGCCCCAATCTGCGCTCTCTCCCCCTGGGGGAGGCCTGTCCGGCTTTGTCAGCTTGGAACCAGTCCCCCCTCTCTTTTGGAGATGCTCCACATGCCCCAGTGCTACTGCAAAGCCCCTCTGCACCCTCACCTCCCCCGCCCCCACATGCACCAAGGGACAAGAGAAACGGGAGTACTTACATTATACCAACTCTGGCTTTTCTGTAAGGACAAAATAAAAGAGAAGCATTAGTTAGCACAGAGATCTTAGTACCAAAGACAGAGAGAGAGAGAGCGCGAGAAAGAGACAGGCAGGGAGACAGGCAAACCAGGACCAATCTGGTATGTATATCGAATCAGCAGAAAGTGAGATTAAAGAGAAAATATTTTGATGGGTTTCAGAGCAGTCTACAGTGTTTATTCCCAGTTATCTGGCTGAAGAACCAGCCCAGAAGTATGAGGCTGTAATGGGAAGCAATTGAGGCTTACACACACACACACACTTCTGCAGAACAGCAGTGCTCGCTAGCAATGCAAAAGCTAAGTCACCAAATCACCATCCATTTTTAGTGCAAGCTTCATTTCTGCACAGGCCTGCTGGCTTGGCCCTAAAACCCACGATGTGTTCTGACACCCTTTGCAAATAAACCCTGGAGAAACTGCCAGGTGAGGGAAGGACTCGGTTTCATTTCAACCACTTGCAATGGGCTTCAGAGACATCCTTCAAAGGTAACAGAGAGAGAGAGACAGAATATTCACAGAAGCAAGCACCTGAGCCAGGGAAAGCGGATGCTGCAGTTTTCTGTGAAAGGTGTGCAGTGTGAGGCATTTCGCAGCACCCACATGTGACTTGAATTTATCCACTTCACATTGTTTGGGGAGCCTGGGCCCCTTGTCACACTGGAGCATGTGGAAAAGGCAGTCTGGCTCGCAAAGTTGCACTCGCCAATAGTGAGCCGTAGGCGAGAGCTCTGACTGCAGGGGGTGGCCGGAAGGCCATCTGCTTTGTATTTCTGCCTGCTGCAGGGACACCTGGTGAGGCTGCAGAAACTTAGGTGCCACTTTCCATTGTTCAAATGCTGAACGTTACACAGTAATCAGTCCTCCAGAGCCACAGGCAAGGATTATTGCTCCTGTTTACAGAGGAGAAAATGAGGCAGGGGACAAGCCTGGGGCCTAGAGATCAGTGATCTGGGCCCTCCTGTAGCCCTCTTTTGGAAGGGACTCGACCTATGACCTCCAGGCAAGTCCCAGGGCCTTGGTCTCCCTGGTAAAGGGAAACGGGGAAAATGATACTTGTTATCTGACAAAGGAAGGCATAAAAGAGCTGACTTCAAAACATGCACGAGCCGTGCTTGTTCACACAAACAGACACTGACTGCACCTGCGCTGCTCACAGGAGTACGGGGCTGCGGGAGACGGGATCCTGCCGTGAGCGCATACAGCCTGTTACTAAAGACAGGGAGCGCCGGCAATTGGAAAGCACAGGGCAGCTGCTCCAACCCTGTGCTACATCCACCAGTCAGCACCGCTTCTAAATTACACCCCCCGCCCGATTCTCCCTTGTTGGGACACTTTGCCCATGTCTAGGCATCATGAACAGGATGTATTTACCTATGCCTAGGCACAGGAAAGCTCCTGCACCATGGATTTCAGGGCACGGTTCTGCTTCAAGTTCCCACTGCTCCTAGGGCAGGTTGCCTAAAGTGTCATCTGTCCTAATCTGCCCCAGGCTGGGGAAGAAGAGGACCCGCGACATTAACACACGCATCGCCCATTCTGCAACACACATTCATGATATAGGCAGTGTGCTGGGTTCATAGCTCTCAACCTGGAAGTGATGGTGAGGCCTGACCTCCTCTGGACTTGGGATCAGGAGACCAGCACTGTGGCTTGGACCCAAACAGTAAGTTTTGCATACTGTAACTCAACAATCAATCCTCTCGCTTGACTGAGGCCTCCCAAAATGCTCTGCTCCAGTTTCCATGAAGAGTGAGCATCAGTGTCAGAGTCCTCAAGTTGCTTTGGTAGAAAACCAGAGGCAATGCTCTCCAGAAAACACACTCCCAGGGGCATGTCAGTGAGGTGGAGAACTGAATCAGCACCAAGACATCGGTCCCAAAACCAACCCTTCTCAGAGGCCTCATGCACCCTTGGCTGTTTTCGACAGCAGTGCACGCTCGACTGCCTGCACTGGCCTCTGTGAAAAACAACTCAGGAACCCGTGGGGTGCAATGCCACCCTCCAGGGAGCACGGGAGCCAAGCACAAAGAGCTCCCAGTGGGCTGCCCACCAGATCTTTGGAAAGGGAAATGAATCACAGCACTGAAACACCTTCCAGATCCCAGAAACATTGATTGAATCATTAAGGAAGAATCTCTGACTGGTCACACGCTTCTGAACTCAAGCCCTCTCCAAAACTGGCTTTGCGCTCTGCTATTTGTCCTGAGGCAACTTGCATCTAAAAGCCACTCGTGTCCATAAGCAGCCCAAGGAAAGGGCACTGTGTGGCTCATTTCACTTGATCTGAGCCCGCAAGAGGCCGAGAAGCGATGCTAGTAACACAACTAATGCAACCACTCCTCCACCCCATGCTCATCATCCGGTGGCTGGGGTGCAGTGGTTCCCCTGTGCATTTCTTTACTCTCGGTAACCATCTCTGGGTAGAAGGCGGAACACAGAAATGCCTGGAAATAAAAGCCCTAATCAAACCAAAAGTCACAGAGGGAGAAAAGACTCGTCGCATGTGCAACAGCAGAGATTTCGCCCCTTCGCTGCAAAACTGCGGCACCTTGCTGTCAGAGAAACCTGCGCTCAGGTGGTTTGTTTTCTGACGCTCGGTGTCGGCCATCACGCTCATGCCCCGAGCTTCCAAAGTGATCTCCTTGGCACGTGCTCTTCCTGTTGTGATCATTCACAGATCCACTGTTTAACTGATTTCCTTCACTTTTGTGTACTGAGAGTGCATCCGGTTAGAGTGTTTATTCCTGCATGAGAGATTCATTTCCTAGGGCCTTTTATTTCTGCCAGTGCTTGATGTGAGTCATGGATGTATTTTCGTCCAGAAGAGGGGATTTCAGGAGCGGTGATGGCTCTTGCAGGGAGAGCTCAGGCATGTTGTACCCACACCAGATTGCCCTAAACCTCTCCGTGCTTCCCAAACTCCTATCTTCTGATATCAGTCTGTTCCCCAAAGTTTTACAAGAGAAAGCCAAGAGACTACTGAACACGTAGTGAAGTTAAGTTAAGGGGTAAAGATACAAGTCAGAGTTAGGAGGAGGATGGCCTTTGTGGCCTAAGTGGCCTGGGGAACGCTTCCTTCTAGCACAAGAGCAACAGGGGTCAGAGGCAGGTCCTACTATCCTGCACAGATGACTGCTGGTGGGACTGGGTAACAATAACAGTGATCGAGCTCCTTGCTTTCCCTTCAATTAGTGCATTTACTTTCTTTGCTGAGCCAGAAGGAGCCGGGATAAAGGAAGAAGGAGTCTGAAAGAACCAGCAGGGAGTTTAAAGGGAGTGCGGGGGGGGTGGGGAAAGAAAGAAACATGTTCTTACTTTGATCAGGTTAAGTCTGTCATACTGGAAAAAGAAATCATAGAAATTAGAACTGAAAGGCGACAGGGAAATAAATAGCGTCTGCAATAACAGGGGGAAGCAGTCACACACAGGCTGACGAGAGGTGCCACGGACACAACGCTACTGGGCATAGAGAAGCAGATGCCAGGGATATCATTGCATACAGTTACTCATCTCCCGCAGCCAGGCAACGATGCCGGGGGAGGAAAGTTGGGCTCTTTGCTGAGCCTTTGATTAATGTACTGCTGGATCTCTCTGCTTAACAAGCACCTGCTAGCGCTAGCAACCATCTTGTGCATAATGGCATCTCTGCTTGGGAGACTCCAGGTTACACTACGGCAGTGGATCATGTGCATGTAACTCCGGTTGCTGGCTGTTCGGCCAGGCCTATCCTGCTCCCAGTAAACTCAACACAGGCTTTTGCCATTGACTTTAATGGGAGGAGAAACACTTTGGCCATCTATGCTAATGCCTCCAGAGTATGCAAAAACATTTTGCATACTAGGACGTATGAAGCCCCATACCACTCTGGCGGGGCATGGCCGCACCTCTCTTCTCATTTTACAGCTGAGGGAACCAAGGTACACAGTTTAACCGCCTGTTCGAGGTTATAAAATGAGCTGGGACTAGAACCCCAGCCTCCTGAACCCCAGTCTAACCACTGGGTCCTGTTCTCCCCAGCCAGTTACCAAGAGCTGACCCTCCATCGCCAGGCTGGACTTTGGGAAATCTTTGTTTTCACCACTAAAGTTTTCAGGGGGGTTAAAAAGCCAAGTTACTCCTGGGAAGCTACAGAATTTGCTCCTATTCCCCATTCAGGTCCAAAACAGCTCCAACCTGCAGGCCACGTGGCAAAGCTCATCTTTCCTATAAACCTAATA